CTCTCTCTCCTCCCAGTCATTTGGATGCTGTGGCTGGAGAGGAGAGGACCTGACAGAGCTCCATTTACTTGCAGGACATCGGGATAATACCCCAGCTAAGCTGTATTTAGTGAAAAGATTATACCTTTACAGCACTTTATAAAAATATGTGCATTTTTTCCAGCTGAGATGAAGGAGTATAAACCTGCATACTCGCGGTCCTGATTAGCTTCTAGCCAGGGAGGATCCTAACGAAGCCTCTCTTCCCCTGACACACTGGTACTGGTCCCTGTCAGGGGCTGGATGGAGCGGGAGGAGAGCCAGGAGTACAGACTTGTCCTACGGTTCGAGTCCGCAAGCACTTTGTGTGGGGAAAGGACAACATAAGTGAGTAAGAATCGGGACTGCCATTTCTCCAGGAGAAAGAAGGCACTAGAAAGTAGCAGGACACTTTGGAAAAGCAGGAGAATGACTGCATTTTCCCCCAGGCACCATTAGGTGTGTTAGCATCCTTAGCATCCCCGCCCCGTCTTCCACCAGGTCCTTCCCACCCCTCTCCCGCTGGGCTGGGCACCCTACGTACTGGTCTTCCAGGCATCCGGAGCCTGCAGGTCGGAGGTCTTCACCGCCCACGACGCAAAGGCGCAGAAGACGAGGCACATGTCTTTGTGGGTCAGCGCCAGCGGAGCCTCGGGCCTCCCTGCGAGAAGAAGAGCACGAGGCTTGGGGTTTCACGCCGCCGCCTCTGCCGCAGCAGGCTCCAGACTCTTGCCCTCCCGGAGAAATACAGCTTGGTCACACATTTTCCCTCCCAGAAGACCTTTTGTCACCGTTGGTCAAGGCAAACATCTCTAGTTAGGACTCGGGTGTGTTTCCTAAGGAGAGGGGCACATTTTTCACCCCTCTCCGTTTTACACTTGAAGAGCCCAAGGCAAATATTGGTGAATGCTAGCCATGGGCCAGCGGGCACGCCGCCTCCAGAACCCCTGCCTGCCCCACACCTTCCCAGCGGCAAGCAGGTCGATTTGGGGAGACAGAGAT